TATATATATATATATATAATCATACCTATACAAATAATAGTTATATTGAAAAATATAACTATTAATGTAATTATCAAAAAAGTAGTACATATATTTAGAAAGAAAGAAAGAATGCACGCATAAATACAATATATGTTAATATATCACAATATCAACACCAAATATTTTGCTTTTGCATTTTGCAGCTTAGAGGAAACTCCTGTGTAACAGATTTAAAAAAGATATCTTTATTTATTTATTTACGTTCTATTTTTGCATGAATCAAAGTCTGAAAGGATAAGTGGCCGGCGACTGACGACACGTTTCATAAAATGGCATTCAGAGTAATTCAAAAACTAATAAACCAATCAATTTTAGATAAAACTCATATAATTTATAATATTTTTTATTGTTATCCTTTTGACGCTTATGATAAATGCTAAACTAATATGCCAATAATTATCGCCAAAGAAGGCCACAATTTATAAAATTTGTACATTTTCTAATACAAAATTTAAAAAATTGAATTAAAATTATCTTGCTCTTTAAGAATATCTTTTTATGCCTTAAAAAGCTTCGTTCAATATAATTTGTACTCTTTTCTTAACAAAACTTTAAAAGATCATTTACTTTTAGTGCTGCTACATAAAAATCTCCCTTTAATGTGAAATTTAATGTTTTTCCTTCTCTTATGAAAAATAACATTTTTTGTTGATTTTCATTGTAAGTACTTTAAGCATAAGTAAATAATATAACTTATATAAAAAGTTATAATATTTAACGTTTAAATAATGCTTCACTTTCTGGATTGTCATCTCTATGTTTTTCAAGATTTCCCGATAAAGTAGGATCTGGACGTCGTCTTTTAAAAAATCCAAGTTTTCGAAGAACCAAAGTAAGTAAAATAAATAATAATAAGCCTGCTACAACAGCTACTATAATTATCCATATTGGTACTGGTTCAACATCTTGATGATCAAGAAGATCCGGATACACAATTGTTTCAGCCTATATATTAAAATATGATTATAAAGTTACAGATAACGTTAATATATAATACTTACAATTGCATAATCATCTTTCAAATTTTCTTGTTGTATGACAACATTTGGCCGTATAACTATTTTTGCATTAGAACCTATCTTTACTTCATCTACTTTTGGATAGTCTTCTACAAGAGTAGAATTCCACAATCTAAATACATAAAAACGTTCATTTAAGAAATAAAAATTAGATTTATAAAAAAATACAATGATTGTATAAAATATGAGATGTTACCTTGCTTTAACTGTTATGATTGCCTCTTGTTTTCTTTGTAAATTGTATATAAAGCATGTAATATCAAAACATTTTGCAGTTCCTGCTTTACAATTCTATAATGTTTACAAAAGATTATCAATTGTTAGATATTTATTATGTTCTCAACAAAATAATTTGTTTTACTTTGTGAATATACAATAACATACCATAGAAACTACTTGATGCCTATGACCATCCTTATCAATGATAGTTCGTGTATTAACAACTTTTTCTGTATCTCGTCTAGTTCTCATTTGATTAGTATAGTTGTGAATTAATGTAGCAGGAGTAGATGTTACAGATTGAAACACATCAATATCATCATAACTACTGCTATCTTGCAATTTTAACGGATTAACTACTTGTCCTGGTGGTAATATACATTCACCATCAGCCAAGGCTACAATGTTACAACAAATGAATATAATATATATTTTAATGTAAGGGAAATAGAAAAACGTTATATTAATATAAAACAAAATTTTACCCTGTACAGTTGGTAATTCCTCTAAATATAAAAGCCATTTACCATGTGCT